CAGGCTGTGGCGCAGCGGATTAACACCCTGGCCTGAAGTGCCAGCATCCCATATGGGCACTGGTTCTAGTCCTGGCTGCTCCATTTTGATCCAGCTCTCTGCTATAGCCTGGGAAAGCAGTAAAAGATAGCCCAAGTCCTTGGGCCCCTGAACCCGCATGGGAAACCTGGAAGAAGCTCCTGGCTCCGGATCGGCGCAGCTCCGGCCATTGCGGCCATCTGGGGAGTAAACCATCAGATGGAAGACCTCTCTCGCGCTCTCTCTCTGCCTCTCCTCTCTCTGTGTAACTCTGACTTTCAAATAAATAAATCTTTAAAAAAAAGATTTATTGGGGGCCAGCACTGTGACACAGCGGTTAAAGCCACTCTACAGTGCCGGCATCCCAAATGGATGCTGGTTCAAGTTCTGGCTGCCGCATTTCCAATCCAGCTTTCTGCTGTGGCATGGGAAAGCAGTAGAAGATGGCTCAAGTACTTGGGCCCCTGCCCCAGCATGGGAGACCCAGAGAAGCTCCTGGCTTCGGATCAGTGCAGCTCTGGCCGTTAGGGCCAATTAGGGAGTGAACCAGCAGATGGAAGACCTTTTTCTCCCTCTCTGCCTCTCCTTCTCTCTGTGTGCAACTTTCAAATAAATAAATCTTTTTTAAAAAAGAAAGAAAGAAAAAGATTTATTTATGGGGCTGCTGCTGTGGTGCAGTGGGTTAAAGCCCCAGCTTGCAGTGCTGGCATCCCATATGGGCGCCGGTTTAAGTCCCAACTGCTCCACTTCCAATCTAGCTCTCTGCTACGGCCTGGGAAAACAGTGGAAGATGGCCCAGGTCCTTGGGCCCCTGCACCTGCATGGGAGACCCAGAAGAAGCTCCTGGTTCCTGACTTCAGATCTGTGCAGCTCCAGCCATTGCGGCCAATTGGGAAGTGAACCAACAGATGGAAGACCTCTCTGTCTCTGCCTCTCCTTCTCTGTGTAACTGACTTTCAAATAAATAAATCTTTAAAAGGAGCATCTGTAATAAATTTAATGCAAATATATACACAAGCAGCACGCGTTTCAGTTTCCAGGTTCAGCTCCTGTGGTATGCTATGTGCTGCTTATGATAAAATGCTCCCTTCTGAATGTTTTCACGTGATTCGTTAACTTCAGGGTGTACACTTACTATTACGCGTGACCCTGGACATCGGAAGAGGCTGGTGGAATATCAGGAGGCCAAAAGGCAGATGGGTATGCGACGCACATGCTGGAGGGGCAGGCTCGTAGCTGCTTTTCACATCTTGCTTTTATCAAGGCTCACATGTGAGGATTGTTCCAGGAACACGACAAAAGGGCCAGGAATTGGCTGGCCCCTTTCAAGGGAAAACAACTCAAAAGAATCCCCAGGTGTGAAACAAAGGCTGGAAAGTCTGTGTTGTCATCTTTTCCTAACATCTTGGGCTCTGTGTTCTGCTGCCCCTCACCTCCCATCCACTCTGTCTTTACTTCTCCAGAGTTAAAACTGACAGGAGACGCTGGTCGGTTCTGTCTGGTTTGCAAACGGGAGCGGCTGTTATGACATATCCACACTCTTTTCTTACGTCTTTCCCATGGTCTCCTGGGCTAGGCCAACTCTCAGGGTAAAGTCATGCACCATTTAATAATGAAGATACATTATGAGAAATGACTCATGTGTGAACATCACAGAGTGTGCACGCGCCAATCTAGGTAGTAGAAAGTACTACACATCGAAGCTATGGCATATACATACGGTAAAGGCTATTACTCCCGCTGTGAGGAACAAAACAGGCGATTGCATCAAGCACAAGAGAAGATGATGCAATCCACGGAGGAGATAAACACAAGATATATAAAGCTGCTGCCAGGACAACACAGCATTTGTGTCACAGTAAACTTCTCTTTCCCGAAATAATGATAAAAACATTGCAAATACATAAACCAGTAACATAGTCAACTATTACCAAGTACTGGGCACTACACGTAAGTGTGTGTATGTCATGCTTTTATATGCACTTTAGGTTTACACAGCAGGCTTGTTCACACCAGCACCACCAGGAACATGTGAGTAAACGCACTGTGCTATGACATGATGGTGGCCACAGGATCACTAAGTGATCGTAACTTCCCAGGTCCATTATCGGTTTAATGCGATCCATCATTGAACAAAATGTCATCATGTAGCTAGCACACGGCTGCTTATCCTTTTTTTTTTTTTTTTTTTTTTTTTTTTACAGGTAGTGAGAGAGAGAGACAGAGAAAGGTCTTCCTTTTGCCGTTGGTTCACCCTCCAATGCCCGCCACGGCTGGCGCGCTGTGGCGGGCGCACCGCGCTGATCCGAAGGCAGGAGCCAGGTGCTTCTCCTGGTCTCCCATGGGGTGCAGGGCCCAAGCACTTGGGCCATCCTCCACTGCCTTCCTGGGCCACAGCAGAGAGCTGGCCTGGAAGAGGGGCAACTGGGACAGAATCCGGCGCCCCGACCGGGACTAGAACCCGGTGTGCCGGCGCCGCTAGGTGGAGGATTAGCCTATTGAGCCGCGGCACCGGCTAGCTGCTTACCCTTAATGTGTAAAAAACAAAAAAATCATGGCTCAAATTTATGTCTAGGTTGAGCTACACATAGTGGTCTAAATTTGTCATTTTTAGGTTTGTATTCCTGTCAGTCTACTGGCTGGTAAAAGGTGGGCTTTAAAAAAAAATAGTCTCCGCAAATTTGGAGTTGTCCTGTTGTTTTGCTCCTCCTCTTCACATCCTGTTTTCCGGTAGTTATAAACTTAACAGAGCTCTCAACCTTAGCGCTAATGACATTTGGGATCAGAAAATGTTCCGCTGCGGGTACTACTACCCAGTGCACTGTAGGACAAGGCGCATTCTTGGCCTCTACCCACGGAATGCCAGCAACACTCTTCCAGGTTATGCCAACCAAACATGTCTCCGGAATTACCAAACATCCCCTCGGGAGCAAAATCACCCCTATTTGAGAATTGCTGAGTTTATTTAAGATTACAACAACCCTCAGTTGGAAAGAAAAAGTTAGCAGCTTTTTTCCACACGGGTAAAAATGCGCTATGCAATTCAGACTTATCCCCACTTACCAGCTTCTACGTAGTTCTATTCTAAAGCAAACAGTGTATCAAAAGCTTCAAAGAAACCACAATACAGCAACTACTACAGTGATAAGAGTATTAGGGGAAGCCCCAGATATGAACCTAATCTGGTGGAAGTTCTTCTGAAACATGATATTAATTAACAGTTGTGATACCAGAAAACAAAGCTAATTAGGATAAATGAAGGGCACCTTGCCCTAATCAGCTGAGCTAGCCTAGAAGACAATGGCAGAACAAACTTGAAACACAGGGATACTTTGGTGAAATCTACTCAATACAAGGAAACAGACACAGCACTAACCCACATATGCAAGCATCTTTTCAGTTTTACTGGATACAATGATAGGTAACAGTTTTAATTACAGCAGGCATGAAGACATTAAAGACCTGCATATTTTGCTGCCTGCTATTTTTGAAGCTAATACAAAAATGCATCTCCCATTCCTTGTGTGTGGTTATAAGCTTTCTCCCCCTCCCCCATCACCAAGAGTGAACAGGCATCTTATTAGCATCTTAAAAACACAGCCCCAGGGGGCCAGCGCCTTGGCAATAGGTTAATCCTCCACCTGTGGCGCCTGGCATCCCATTTGGATACCGGTTGTAGTGCCGGCTGCTCCTCTTTCAATCCAGCTCTCTGCTATGGCCTGGGGAAGCAGCAGAAGATGGCCCAGGTGCTTGGATCCCTGCGCCCACATGGGAGACCAGGGAAGAAGCACCCTTGGGGAGCGAACCAACCGAAGGCAGGCCTTTCTATCTGTAACTCGATCTCTCAAATTTTTCAAAAATCTTAAAAAAAAAAAAAGACAGCCCTGGGGTGTGCAGGCTCTGGATTCGGCCGGGTCTCAGCCTCAAGAAAGTTCAGCTTCTCCACCTGGAGCCGGTACAGGAAGGGATGCTGGAACACACACACGGCTTTTAAAACAGACGTCTTACCTGTTTACTGAATGATAAGTTCAAATACATTCAGCCCCCTTTAGACTCGAGCTCCATCAGCACACTGTGTGCCCTTCCCTTCCTCTTCTGTCTAGACCAGACTCCCAAACCGAGGCCCCCACATCAGCATCATCTGGGACTTGTTGGAAATGCAAATTTCAGACCCACTCAGCCCTAGGCAATCAGAAACTCACAGGGGTCCATCTCCCAATATTTGTAACAATCCCTCCAGGTGAGTCTCACACACTCCTAAAGTTTGAGAACCTCCGATTTTGGCTCATGTTATCGCTATATCCACCAAAAAAAAAAAAAAAAAAAAAAAAAAAAGAAAGAAAACACTGCCGGCGCCGCGGCTCAATAGGCCCAACGATATGGGTGGGAAAACCGGCACACCGGGTTCTAGTCCCGCTCACAACTGAGATTCATTAAGGTTTTCGTGCTTTTCACTACTGATTGAAATTAAGGTCTGACACACCTCGTTAACAAAATCCAGGGGGTCTCTTTGGTTTTGGTCTTGCGTTAATTAGGGGGGAAAAACAGAAATGCGTGACAGCAGAGAGCCAGATGCCTGGGGTTCTACTCAGTCGGAGTTAAAGGACAAGACTCTGGAAAAAGTATTTTCCCAAGAACCTCGGATTCCGCAGCCGCCCCTGCTGTCTTCGTCCGTAAGAGAACGCGTCGGCCGAGGAGCGCGGGGACGCGGGCAGCATCCCAGTCCTCCGCACGGGGCATCCCAGCGGCGACAGGTGGTCTGGGCCGAACAGCCCGCCCAGCCCGACGCCTGCGGCTGCGGGCCCAGTGCGCTGGTTCACCAGGGGAAACTGGCACACCCCAGAGCCAGGGGCCGTCTAACCCGAAACCGCAGCTCGCTGACAGAAGGGGCGAGCGGTGAACCCGAAACCGCCGAGGGCAGCACCGAAAGAAACCACACGTCCCCCGGCTACACGAGGAAAGGGGAGGGGGCGAGCACTCACTGTGTGGGTCGCTCTTCTCCCGGACCCCGTCCACGCGGCCGTCGGGGTGGATACGCAGGAAGAAACCCCCGTTTTTGCAGTACAGCCGCTTGGGGTCCTTGAAGTGGCCGGGCGGGAAGGCGCCGCTGCCTCCATCCTCCGGCAGGGCTGGCAGCGTGGTGATGCTCCCGGCTGCCATGGCCCCTCCGGGACCCTGCCGGGGAACCGGGGGCGCGCCGGGAGCTGCCCGGGGAGAAGCCGCCCCGCGAGCCCGGCCCCGGCCTCCGACCCGCTCCGGGGCACGGCCCCGGCCCCGGCCCCCCAGCCTCCCGCCCGGCGGCGCGCGGCCGCGCCCACGGGCCCCCAGCCTCGTGCAGCCCGGCTGCTCCCTTCTAGCCCGGCCCTAGCGCGCGGCCGGGGAGCCGAGGTTAGGGGCGAGCGTCTCCGCGGGCCGCCGCTCTCGGGACAGGCGCCTGCCAAGCTGCAGCGCCCCGGAGCCGGTTTTAGGCACAGGCACCGCGTCCGCTGCTCTGGCAGCTGTGGGCCGCGGCGTCACATCTTCTACCTCTCCCCACCAGCCAAACCCCGCGCCCGCGGCCCTGCCCTCTCCCTGCGCGCCGCCCCCTACTCGCTCCGAGTGTTCTGGGCCGGCCCGGGAGCCCGGCGCTTGGGCCACAACACGCACGCGCGCACGGCATCGGCCCCCGGGGGCGGCCGGACCTCAGCTGGCCGGCAGGGGTGCGGGGGACGCGCCGGGGGCGGCGGCTCGGGCCTCGCTGTCCCTAGAAGTCGCCCCCGCCCCAACCGCGTCCCGGCTTTATCCACACTGCGGAGCTTTCGCTGTGCAACTTTTAAAAAAGTTAAAATGCAACATTCTCCCGCATTCTTTTTTCGTGCCCGCGTTTCAAAGCGGAGAAACTGTTTCCACCCCGAAGAAGGAGAAAGGGTCGAAAGCCGGGAGGATTCCGCGTCAGAAGTGGGTTTTGAAAATCTCGCACCACCGAAAGGCCCGAGGAACGCGTGAGGCGGAAGCTGTTAACCTTAGGAAGGAGGCCGAGATCCTTTACCAGCAAGAGGGGAGCAGATTAGGTCGCTGAAAGGAAAACGTCTTCCTGTGCCGACCTCACTTGAATTGGACAACTCGGAAAGATGAGGGTGGACCTCCAATGCTTCCCGAAATGGAAGGGCATTACCGTCCAAGCCTTAAGTTGGCACCTACCCTGGCTAAACTGTTAGCGTTTCTTGGAAGGAGAGTCGTTTCCTGAGAGTCCCACAGTGCAAAACTGAAGTGAATGACATTTTGGTAATTTTCGGTAGACTCTATTAGGCACTGCAGATGATTAGCAAAATCCCCCATCCAGAGAGTGTGTGTATATTCAGGGCCTACTATATGCAAAGCATTGCGTCAGGGCAGTGGGAGATTCTAAAGGGATCTCACAAAGTGAGGGAGAAAAGGTAGGAAGGAGGAGTAAAAGTAAATACCGAGGAAAATCACAAGGCCACACCAGAACCGTAAATGAGGCTCTGTGACATTTCAAAGGATGATTCAACTTGGGGAGAGATGGGAGATTTGGGAAAGCTTCTAGAAGGAGTTGTAAGGACACCTTTGGTTTCCATGTGGCCATTTGTTTTAGTCTTGGAGAGGGCCTGCAATGGTTTGGACACAGTTTGTCTCCCAAAGGTTTTTATGTTGGAAGCTTGGTCCCCAATGGTGGTGGTGGTGGTGGTGGTGTGGTGGTGGTGGAATCTTTATGTGATAGAGCCTCCTGGAAGGTAGTCAGGTCATGGGCGCTCCACCACAGGAATGGATTCATGCAGGCTCTCGGGGAGTGGATTGGTTCCCACCAGTGTGGGTTGCAATAAAGCAGGTTCAGCTGTCTCGGCGCACGCTCCTGCTTGCGGCCCTCACGCAGGCTCTGGCTGTTCCATGCTATCTGCCGTGCTGTGATGCACTCACTGCACTCACTGGCATCTTGCTGTTTGGGCTTTCCTGCCACCAGAATTGTCAGCCAGATGAACTCCCTTGTAAAGCACCCAGCTTTTTTTTTTTTTTTTTTTTAATAGCAACATAAAAGGGACTAACAGCTTTAACCCCAGATGTATTTCTAGGAAGTAGGGGTGTGAGAAAATGCTTTTAATCTTCAAAACCAGGCATTTGCTTCTCCCTTCTCTAGGCTGGTGTATGTTTCACAGAAAAGGAAATACTATCTTTCCCTCAGCCATTGATAGGTTCATGCCGGAGGACCCTATATCAAAAGGCAGATTGATAAGAGAAAAACATACTCATTTAGTTCATACAAATTTTAGGTGACACAGGAGCCTTTGAAAATGAAGACCCAAAGGAACGGGGAAATCTGTGTATCAGGATAGATTTGATGACGAAGTGAATAGATATGGAGAAGCATAATTGGACAAAGGAGGTGGGATCTGAGGATAATTATCTGGGGAGGGGATTAGTCAGGCCCCTTTGCTCACGTTTCTCCTTGAGTCTGGGTGACTTTGGTTTTCTCCAGGTATAGGGAAGGCAACTTTCTAATGACCCACCTCAGGGCAAAAGGGTGTGGGAACCTGAGAGAAACCAGCTCTCAAATGCTGTTTTCTCAAATGCCAAGCTACCTTACTTTGAGGTAGCATCTCCTGAGCTGTCAGTCCTCGGTCCTTTCTCTCCAAAATGGACTACTTTCTTCTTCATTGAAAATCCATTGTGGCAAATAGTTCCTTTCCAGGTGATCTCTGTAGATATCCTGGGAAATGCTTAGCGCTACAGTAGGACTCACTTGAATTTGTGTCACAGAAGCCTGAGTATTCCAAGAGCCAGGGGATAAAATCTGATGGAGCAAAGACAAAAGCCTTAGATCTGTTTTAGTCCCTTGCCTACATGACTGAGAGCAGATCCCAGCCCCCTGTACTCTTCCTTAACCAGCTCAACCCTGCCCTAGACTGTTAGCCTAAACCCTCCCAAATGGCACTACCATCTTAAGAGCTCAGCCTTATTAGCCCAAGCCCTACCTCTGTCTTAATGGTTCAGCTGTTAGCCCAGGCCCTCCCAAGTATCTTCTGCTATATAAGCCCCTAGCTTGTATGAGAACGTGCTCTCTCTGCTCTGTGTTTGCTGGGAGAGACCTCCTCTCAGGTTTGTCTCTGCATAAATCTGTTCTGCCTGGGAGTTCGTGGTCTCTCTCCTCTTTGTCTTGCTTTTCTATCCTTAAAAAATCTAAGTCATAATATGTTTCAGCTATGGTTTCCAGAAATTTGGGGAACAGACAAGGAGTTAACTAGTTCACGTGGGTCAGGGTCTTGGGGAACTGCATCCCACGTAATTAGCCCATATTTCCTGCCAAAATCTGGTGGGGAGATATCACAAGAAATATTTAATTCAGCTCCAGGAAAATCCATTTCGCCAAGACCAATAGTGTTAGCACCAAGAAAAGATCATGAAGATAGTTGTCTCAGGGTCTTACTCAGCCCCTGTACAATATGCACTGTTATATACACACACGCCACTGTCATTAGAGGCATTTACTCAGCTCTCAGCTGAACTGTGAACACTCAAGTTACTTACATTGTAAAATAATTATCCAAGTATTCATAAACTATAAAGGAAAGAGGAAGTTCTCTCACATCTCAAGATCTATTACTTTGGAATTAATCAGAATTATTCAGGATCAGGTGATGAAAAGTACAAGGATTTAATGAGAGCTTGAAAAAAAAACCTCAAATATTCTTGGATGCAAACACACTATAAAGTAGCTATGTGAAATTCTAAGCATATTTAGAAGCTTAAAACCCTCCTACTTTAAATTTTAACACAATTTTAAGACTCTAAAGCAATATTGAAAAGTACATTTGGAAAAATAAACATGAGAATAGCAAATCTTTTTTTAAAATTATTATTGTATGGGCAAGAAAATGTGAAAGAATTGTGGGCCAAATAGATCGCTGAATCGCTTTAGGTTATAGGGTTCTTTGGCGTATCTGTACTTTTCAATGCCTTTGGACACCTTTGTTGTAGATAATCAGTAACACACGTGAATTTTGTCTGGTGGAAGGACATTTATTTCCCTTCCCTTCCTATGGAAGAAGCCAGTTATGTATCTATTCATAAATTCATTCCTGCACTGCTTTTAGTTTTATATGCATGATTCTTTCTAACCTGTTGTACTGTCTTACTGGTAGTTCTCTCAACAATTAATGATATAATATATGTATTTAATGAGATATAATTGTATATATGAGATATGTGTTCATGTTCACTTTGTATCTGCATGATGGTTGACAGTTGTGATTATACATTTGTAAAAAAAACTTTAAAATAATGTGAAGAAACTTGGCAGTTCATATATTAGAGGTATAATAAATCTATTATATAAAAACATTATGGAACTAATACATATAATGATTGAAAGAACAATGCAATCAATAAAATTTCAGATGTACTTCATCTGATTATATAATAAGCTGACCTCAAAATAAAAGTTTGTTAGTACCCCTAAAGTGCTTGTCAAATAATGAAAACTCTTCTGACAAAGAAGAGCTCAGGATCAGATGGCTTGATTGATGAATTATTTTTTTTAATTTTTTAAAAGATTTTATTTATTTGAGAGAGAGAGTTACAGAGGGACAGAGAGAAAGGTCTTCCTTCCGTTGGTTCACCCCCGCCAGGTGGCCAGTACAGCCAGAACTACGCCGATCTGAAGCCAGGAGCCAGGTGCTTCCTCCTGGTCTCCCATGCGGGTGCAGGGCCCAAGCACTTGGGCCATCCTCCACTGCCTTCCCGGGTCACAGCAGAGAGCTGGACTGGAAGAGGAGCAACCAGACTAGAACCAGCACTCATATGGGATGCCGGCACCGCAGGTGGAGGATTAACCAAGTGAACCACGGTGCCTGCCCCCTTGATTGATGAATTATACCAAACGTTTAAAGAGGATTAATACCACTCACTTTACAAACTCATTTTAAAAAAAATGAAAGAAGAGGGGACATTTCCTACTTCATTGAATGAGGTCAGAGATATTCTAACACCAAAACCAAACAAAAATATCACAAGAATAGAAAACTACATATCAATGTCCCTATGAGTATAGATACATAACAAAATACTATCAAATGGGTAAAGGATTATATGCATATATCATATCCAGTAGGATTTATCTCAGGAATGCAAGGTTTGTTCAACATAGAACAATTAGAGAGTGTATCACACTGTATTAATAGAAAAAGAGAGAGAAAACTACATGATCACTTCAGTAGACATTTGGAAAAACATTTAACAAAGTCCACAACACTTTTGTCATTAATTTTAAAAATTTCCTCAATAGATAAAGAGTGTGCACACACACACACACACAAACCTACATCATACTTAAAATGGTGAAAAACGGGATGGCATTGTTGCACAGTGGGTTAAGTCACTGCTTGGCATATCTACATCCCATATCGGAGTGCCAGTGGTTGGAGGCTAGGCTACTCAGCTTCTGATTAAGCTTCCTGTTAATGTGTCTGGGAGGCAGTGGAAGGTGGCCCAAGTGTTTGGGTCCCTG